ATAATTTATAATCTCTGCTTAATTGTAGCTAACATAACTAGTACATTTAATAAGAAAAGTTGACACTTAATTATCAACAAGTTTCTTGTTATTAAACTAATTAGAGTAATATTAAATGCCGGAATTGTCTACGAGCAAGCTTTTAAACTACAATAATTATACTTCAACACGATGCCAGTTATCTATGGATAGAAAACTCGGTAGCTGTAATCATTTAAGCCTGTAGGAGAAATTATATGGCCAGTAGCGATTAATTTGCCGCGATATATTTCGCCATGACACCCTTGTTACAAATAAATCATGAGGTAACGCGATACGCTCGCTACTGTTGCTTGTGACATACGGCCCTATCGATCCGCCCACACATCTAATTTGAATAACAACCGTAAATACAAATATTTATTAAAATGTTGATTCTATCAATGTGATGGTTCACTTTGTTTGTTTAGCGTTTAAATTATACTAGCTTTCGCCCGCGACACCGTCCGCATGGATATAAAAAAAACAAAAGCGAGCACTCTGTGTTCTTCCAGACCATCTTCTACATCTATACCAATTTTTATCGAGATCCGTTCAGCAGTTTAGGCTATAAACTCTAACAAACATTCATCTAAACTTTTGCATTTATAATTATAGTAATTTTAGTAACCTTAGTTATAGGTGGACTATTTTGTTAATAACAATCTTTGTGACACTTATTTAAGCAGAATAAAATACGATTACGTATTTCGTGAAACGCTTTATCCCGTTCAACTATTGCGACTGTTACCGTCACCGATGAAAGGCAGGAAGCGATGCAGCTTAACTCTAAATTCAACAAGGACATAACACAAATATGAAACATAATCAGTTGACCATCCGTACTGTTGCTGAATTTTGAATAGATTCGAATGCCGTTCACCGCATTTGTGCAATGCGATACAAATATTATGGAAATTTTAAATCTTCGTCGAGTTTCCCACGTTGTGTTCGGGGCTCGCTCACGTTGACATAATGTATGCGACTCCATACTCGCCTTGTGCAGCGTCTTGTGCAACTTTATAGGGTACAATTATGGTGGCATTCGCGTCACGCCGTCTCTGCTATAGTGCCTTTGTAAGTTATAGTGATGTAAGGCGCGAAAATTTGTATATCTATTTAAATTAAAATCGCGTTTAAAATTAACATACAGATTTTATGACGTAAACGACATTATTACTAACATTATTGTAACTAATACTAAAGTAATGGTTTCTATATTGCGCATTTGAGGGCGGAAATATTTATGTTTAATTAAAAAATCTACGAACGGTTAAAGTTTTTTTTTTCTTTAATCTAATATTATTTAACTATAATAGAAGTGATTTATATTGTACCTTACATTTTTTTTGTATCAATTAGATAAGTAAGTGCGAGGAAATTAAGAGTTCAAAGTACTATTTAAAAGCAGGTCAGTTTAAATAGACAATTTACATTTGTCCCACGTTAAAAACGCCATATTAGTGATGTAAATGGTTTTTTTGGAGTACGAATTAGTAGTCTGTGCGTTATTGACCTCGGTTACTTATATTTTAGTAACTCTTACGTAAATTATTCTGAACATGTTTATCATAGTGTGAATTTATGACATTTAAAATTACTTTAAAACATACGAGTATATGATTAATAATTAAACACAATAAATGTAGTCTATTTTCAATTATCACTCTTTTAACTGTTTTTGTTTATTATTAAAATAAAAAAAAAACTATAAATAAAATCGACTATTGATATTGTCCCATCACTAGTCCCATTACCCTGCCCTTATCTTTGTATTGGCGAGTGATTATCGCGGCACGTTCGCACTAAACTGCCACCTGTCAATCCTAATTATCTTTATTGTCATTTCATTGTAACAAATATTAATAAATATAATAATCTTTAATAATAATAACAGAATGTGTTAATAAATAATGCATTAATTGTACTAATAAAATAAAATATAAATTGTGTAAAGGGGCCAGCTGAAAACCAGCGCAGTAACGGCCTGCGCCGTCCCTGCATTAGAGCTTGCCACCTTTTGCCACATTTCTCTCTCTTTTGTGTATCGAATTTTTATTTAGTTTTTTTGTGGCAAAAAAAAATCCTATTTATATATTTTTTTTAAATGAGAAAGTTTAGATGGATGGATGGATTTATGTTTAAGTTTGTAGCTTAAACACCTGAATGGAACATGATGATATTTGTCATAAATGTAGAGCAATTTCTAGAAGAATACGTAGACTACTTCCATTTGTCGTTGTTTTAATCCACGCGCAGTCGCGTGCGAAAGTTAGTTATAAATAATAAATTAATTATAATTTCATGCTTACTAGTCGTTTGTAATCCGCCTGTTAGTTGTGGGTAAGCATGACAACTTGACAAAACGAAACCAACAGCGGTTATCCGGACAGGGATGTTCCAGTCTCGCCTACGCCTGTGTGGGACATCTTTAATGCGGAATGCCGAGGGATTGTGTCACATAAGGACATGCCACAAGAACGGCACCACACTGACTAAAATAGTTGTACACACAATCGTAAAATGTCTGATTTCTCATTTTCGATCGAAATATCGATTTGTTTTGACAATAAAGTTGACTGACAGATGTCAAACCGATTATTTCTTAACGATTGTATCTATTTTTGCGTAATTTATTTGTTTTTGTTACTGACATTTGAAATTAATTAAAAATATTCTTACGCGATACAAATTATCGATCATAATGTTATATCAAATGAAATAGAGTCAATAATAAATTACAGTATTTAATTAAAGGTTTAAAATTTATTAGTCTGTTATGAAAGAGTAGTAAATCGATAATAACGAGTAGCGCAGTGGCAATCGATACATCGATAATCGTTATAACTGCGAGTAGAACAATAAATATAACTGGTAATATGCAATTGGATTCCTTGTTTAGTGCCGTTCAATAACCGAGTAATAACGAATATGACGTACAATATCCTGCAGATAGTGCTGTAGATTTGTCGCATATTGTACATGTTAATGTTACATTAGTTAAGCTTGAGAGTAGCCCCAGTAGTAAAAAAGGTAAGGAGTAAAAGGTTAGCATGGCATGGGCATGTTATTAAGAGTGACGAATCGCATGTTACAAGCAGAACGTTTTGAGGGTACACCAGTAGAAGCAGACCTAGAAAGAGATGGATGGATTGCGTGAAAGGTGACATGATCAAAAAGTGAACAGAGTTATGTGGAGGACCAAAACCTGTCGCGTCGATCCTACAGGAGTAGGATAAGAAGGAAGATGATGATGAATTTTACACTAGCCACAGAACAATCAAGTAACCTTTTTAATTATGTTTATCGTACATAAGAGCCAGTGCACATTTTAGCTAAACTATCGCAAAACTGTTTAGTCTCGCTTTGTTTCCTATAAGCTTATATGTGTGCGCACACTCGGGATTTTTAGTTGTGCAACTAAACAGTTGAATTGGCTCCAAAAAAATCGACAATCGCACAACCGTTGAGCGATAGTTTAGTCAAAGGCGTGCGTTCGTTCTTAATATTACAGTGGCCACAGAATATTCAACTAACCTATCTAATTAACATCGAACATAAATATTCTTTCAAATTTTAATTGTTATTTTGTTGGTATAAAATCGTTATTGACTAAATAAACTTGAATCATGTTTTTACTAGCTGTTCTTGTGCGATTTCATCACCATAAAATTATATCATTGTTTACATGTGTCAAATTGTCAATTACAAATGTCAAAATGACATGACATGACAAAACTTGGCAATCTTGCTTCCTTGATGTTGGCAGCAACTTATGGTCTTTTTCCCACATTAGGATTTTTATCCAAAATATTTACCTCCTAAGTTTAATGACGTGAAAATATTTAGCCTAAACGTAATTGTAGGACTTTTTATTAAAATAAGAATGATTCAAAAATATGCTGAAATTAATGACATCTTAGGCAACAAAGAAGTGTGTTTACGCTTTATTATAATAGTATAGACATAAATAGATAAAATAAGGAATCCTAATAACGAACATTTTTATAAAAACATTGCATCTCAAACGTGTAGTTCTATGTACCCAAGCCACTAATTGAACGAACATCATAACATCATTAAATAAAAAGTAAATATCGCTAATAAAACATTAAAGAAAAAACTACATACAACTCTCAAAGCCTTACGAAGCTTCAATCAGTAGCAATTAGCCAGTTGATGCAGACACGCTGTCTGGCTTCAAGTGACGGCCGCCATTGTTCGTGAAGAGTTCAAGTTATAATGGTGATTGGAACTGATGTGTAGAAACAATGATTATACATATAGTCGTGATTGCCTGTGGAGATTGGCGCGTTTCTCCCGTCGACTGACATCTTCATTGTTACTCGCGCGAACGCCCACGTAAAAATTAAGATACTTGGACGCAGTTTTATGATTGGATGCGATCCGGGTTTGATGAATAGACACTGCAGACGGATTTACAAGTGCAACTGTGTGAGTTGTAATTAGGAGCAATGAGTTGTGTGCGTTTTTAATACTAAGGTTTATTGCGTTGTAAGAAGGTATACGTTTGTAGCTTGTTTGCTGCTTGAGTTAACGATAAAACTTATCCGCCATTTATTTGCGGCTTCATTATGCTTAATTTTACAAGCGTTGTAAATAGGTAATAGACTACAGGTTATATAACTTTGTATTACTTTTAGGGCTTGTGATAACAAATTGTAAATTGTCTGATAACAATTCAATATGTGATGGCAATATCGGATTTTGTTACCTTATTTGATAGTGACGTAATTTTTAGGCTATCTGAGCCTCTATCAGCCAGTGGTGGGACAGGGCCTTAGCTTTACATTTTGTGTGGGTAAATAATTGTTTTTTCTAAACAAACTTTTGTAGACAAGCAAAATCGAGGTACCAAAGGTGCAGTTTAAAAAACATTCAAAATAAGCTAGGCTAGGCTTCTTATGCTACTGGATAAGGACACTTTATTAAGACTTTCTCTATAAAGTAAATGTACTCACCGAGGCGTACTCCGCACATATGTCTATAGAGCTGACAAACTCGTGTACGTCGTCCACCGACCAGCCGGTTAACCGCGCGCGTGCCTCCGCACACAAGCAGTCACTACGATCTGGTAAACGACATATAAATAAACACATGGGATATAAGTGTGGCTGACAGATATGATGAATTTGGAAAAAATTTCTTGCTTGTTTTGTTATATTCATATTTTTTTATTACGATACTCATATACTTATGTTAGAATCGTCCATCTCCTATCTACCTCTTTATACTTTGTAGGTTTTGATATTTGAGTTTTGGTTTTAAGCATTCGCCTGTTTTTTTTAATTTACATAGGAATCTACTAGCTTTCACTCGCGACTCCGTGCGCGTGGAATGAAAAAAGAAAAGCAAGTAGCCTATATTCTCTTCAAGACTATGTTCTACATCTACGCAAAATTTCATCGAGATCCGTTCAGCCGTTTAGGCTACAAACTCTAACAAACATTATTCGTCCATTCAAACTTTCGCATTTATAATTTTAGTAAGATTAATAAAAAAGTATTATTTTTGTCATCGATGTAAAAACCCATTATTTAGTTGTATAATTAGAATGCTAGATATAAAATAAAATACCTAATGTTCTTTGGTCGCAAGCAATAACGCTTTTTTGTCGCAAGCTTTTTATATTAGGTTTTTGCTTGTCTGTATTGATTGGAAGCTTTTATGTGTTGTTAAATGAGATTTGTTGTGAGGAACTTTAAGAAGCTGTGCATTTTTTATCTTTTATAGTTAAGAAACGCAAAAAGAATTAGAAACATTAATTTAACGTTTAAGGATAGGAAGTCTGTGTTATAAAATAACCAAATGGATAATATTTTATCTTATTATCAAAGAACATTTTAGTTGTTACAACAATAATGAATGGTTAATGAATTTAATTGCAGTCGTCGGATAATGTGCATGATTGTTATTACTTGTGATTTATAGTCGCGAGAAGTGCGTTCATAGAGCAAAATTTACATAGTTCAAAGTTACGACACGTGACGTCATAAGTTACAACCAATGATTATAGTTGCATTGTATAAATACATTTGTGTGTTAATTAAAACCCTTATATAATATTTAGTTACCTTCGTTAGACACCCTGTCGCGGTCATCACTGTCGCTTCGTGTGCTGGGACTGGCGGAGAGGCGGGCGCGTTTAGCGGCGCTTTCGCTAGCAGCGGACAGGTCCAGTGGGGAGTGCTCTGCGGAGTTACCCACCAGCCGCTTGCGCCGTGACCGCCCGCTGCGACCAACCCGCGATATCGCCAACAGCGTCTGTTGACAACGACTCGCATAGTAACCACCAAATGTTTATTACCTGTAAGTAACACTATCGACATTTCTTATTCGGAATGCAGTAAGTGCGTTACCAATACTAATTAAGTACCAGTTTAAAGTAGTATGAACATCAGGAAATACACTAGACAGCGTGGGAACATGTACCAATCGTATCGATTATAGCGTAGCAAGCTCGGGATACTTTTAAAATCACACGTGTAGGCGCTCTGCGATAGATAGCTGATAAGATACAGGTATTGCATCGTAATGTACGACCGGATTCCAATGCATGATAGAACACAAGTCGAGAATTTGATGTGGCTTACTGTTCGCTTAAATTTAATACAAATTATTAAAATACTACCACTTTATGAGTATGTTAATATAGTGAAAAAAATGTTTATATGATTTTTAATACCATTTGAAAATTTTACGGTGTTCTATAGGAAAGTGTCCCACTTTCAGCACGCGTTCCTATCTCGATTTAAATTGTGAATGGTTACTTATAAACCACTTGGCGCGCCTCTGGTATGTTATTCTAGATATCACAATGTGCGCGGTCTCGAGCCGCGAGCCGCGAGCCACGAGCCGTGAGTCAACCTGTGACATTTAGAAACTCAATTACTCGGTAGCCGGTCAAGTGGCCCGATGCGGTCGGCCTAAGCAAACACCTTATCTGATGCAGACCACTCGCATTCATCATAACGTTACGCCGACACGCTCGCCGGTCGCGGGTCAAATTGCAATCTATCTTTTTTAATTGCCCCAGCGCACTAAAAAAAGAACCAAAAGCTCACTAATTCCGAGTAAATTTCAGACGGAGGCGCGCGCGCGTGAAATGAACACGATCGGGCGCGCGTGCGCACCTCCCCCCGCGCACCCCGTGCCGCCCGCCGCGCCCACCGGGCAGAGGTGCCGCCATTTATCTTACAATTTATTTCCGCATCGCTCCCGTTTCACTTTATAGGTGAAAATAAATTTAAAACGACTATTTATAGACTGAATAAGGGCAAAGGAGAGAAATGTAACAAATCATGTTTATATTGCGCACGGATACGATCGATTTTAGAAAGTAAACATCGAATGCGTTTACGAGTATTATGGAGAGAATAATAGTAGAGCGCTTGTAGTGGTGCTGGTGCCCCGGTAGGTGACGCCTCGGGCACTCGCCAGTGAAAATAAGATAATCATCGCTTTGATACTATCTGATGCGATTTACTTAGAAAGTAGGAATCCAATGATTGTTTACGAAAACTGTAACGTTGACATAAAAAAGTTCAATTTATTTTACGTCATGGAGATAGAATAAAAATCTTTTATCTAGATTGTTAGATCTCACATGCCCGAGAAAATCATCCTGCTTAATCTCAATAATGGACTAACTCCAAAACGAGCACCTGTGATAATTTAGGAAATAAGTTTGTTTGTAGCTTGTGAACAAATCGAGAACCTGTAGCCAACATCTGAACAATCATTTCCTTACAACAAAGGAATTCACAATACAATAAACGTATAATATAAACCCCGTCCGTGGAATGCAATAAAAAACAAATATATGTGTTCTTCCAAACTATCCTCTACATCCATGCCAAATTTCATCGAAATCCGTTCAGCAGTTTAGGCTACAAACTCTAACATATCCACATCCATCACATCCATCTAAACTTTCGCATTTATAATATTAGTAAGATTTCTCGCAAAAAGAATTTCTCATTCATAATTCGAACGCCATTTTAATTTCACATCCCATGAGTGGCGTGTGTTCGGCGCATGCGCGGCGCGTGCCTTCGCCAATTAGTGCAGCTCCAGTTGAGTTCGCGCGAGTCGAAACGGTTCGCTGGCCATCGCCTCCGTATAATCCTGCTGATTGTGCGCACTCACACACGGTAACCGCTTCGCAATTAACACTCTCTCCGTCTTATCTACGCCGGAGGAAGTGTAAAGGTCGGGGGCCTTATCTGATTTAATTGTCTTCATTATGACCGCAAAGGAAGCGTCGCTCGCCGCGCGTTATGATTTTAAAGAGGTCCGAATTAACATAACGCCGGTAGAATGAATTTAACGATGCCCCAAGACATTTTAATCACAGCCGTGAACTATGAAACGCGCATTGTGGTAAAATTAAAGCGGGAAGGTCAGTGAGCACTCGTGTAAAATAATTAATATGAATTTTAAAGACGCTCTTATGAAACAAAAAAGCAGCTGAGCGTAAATTATTTCATAGGGGGCAGACTTTTAGTTGAGGAGAATTATGAAGGCATGAACGGAAATCGTAAAGTATGTTTTAATTTTCTTGTGTATTATTCTGGTTATTTTAACACGAAGGTTAAATTAAATTTTAGTTAATATTTAATATATTTATCGTTTTAGACGAATTGACATCAATATCGCCTATAGTTAATAGAAATATTAAATAGATTGGCTCCTGAAATCATAGCAACTTAGTTTAGGAGCCAAGGTTACCACAAAATCTTTGTAAATTTGTTGCATTATAAACCATTTATTTATTCATTAAATATATGAATGGTTACTTAGTTTAGGTATATCTTAGATATAAATGATTTTACACATTCATTCAAAATGTTGCCAGGATAATGAGGTAACTTTAAAACGCTTCATCGCCGTCGTCACGTATTCCTTTGTCATAAGGAAGAATAAAACTGTTTGTCAATGCTTTGAAGCACGTAATGTCTATGGGTTTCCTCTTCCTAGTATGATAACCTCGTTGCTATAACAACTATGGTTGCTATTGAAAATATCACATTTGCTTGCGATTCTATTTTTTAACATTTACAGTAAATTTCAGGACATTTAAAGTTTACATATAATAAGATTCCAGATTTCGGGAAGATGATGTATGTATTTACGTTACTTATAACGAAAATCGCTTTTAAAAAATGTTTGTCTGTCTATGTGTCCGCAGGCCGTGTTTGTCCCGGGAAATCTCCGAAACCGGGCTGGGCCGATTTCGATCGGTCTTTCACAGAAGGGTAGCTGATATAGACGTGCATGTTATAGGCTATTTTTTTTAATTTCTGCGCTGTCAAAATTGCATGACGTGTGGTGCGAATTTGCGCTAACGAAGTTAGCAGGCGACAGCTCGTTGAATTATAAATTTCTTATCTATCAGCCTTATTATCCTTCATACTAAGGTTACTAGGTGACTTTATTGTTCAAAGTACATAAAGGGGCATGTATTCTAAGTCTCATGTTATCACGTTAACGCAGTTAAACTCACCTTAGTTGAGCTCATATCCAGCATGGGAGGGAATGCAGGCAGTCTCAGTGGCCCTCCTTGCTGTGTGGTTAGCTTGTCAAAGAGGCCGCCGAGAGGGACTTCGCTTGTATCCGACTGTACTGGAGATGGTGGCGCCGCTCGCGCTTCAACGCCGAAGCCATTCATCCGATGAAAATAACTGAGGAAAACATATATATTAGCAACTGCTAATCTTTCTACGAGTCAAAGTTAAAAATGGTTACTATATGAAGACGGAAAAGGATCCAAACCCTCCACCGTGAGGTGAGATTGCAACGGCCGTATACTGAAACGAATGTTAAGCTACGCTTCGTAATTTGGGATTTAAGCGTTTCCATTTAAGAGTTGTTACATATTTAAATGTCGTTTTAGTATTCGTATATGTTAAGTACAAATAAAATAAGCGAGAAATTTTCTCACGCGTTTTAAATAAATACATTTATATTTGGCAAGAAATATAAATGTTAAACGCATCGACTTAAATTATAAGACTTTATTTGTATTGCGAAAGTTTGGTTTTTTTAATGTTCCTAAATGGTCCGGATCCTGATTTCCTGTTCAGGTCTGTTCTCATGAGACAGTTAATGACTACATCCTATTATTGGGTAAATTAAGCAATATTGACATATTAATGGGTCTTAATTAATTCAACCATTTAAATAATAATAATTGTTGATAAAATTGATCAAAGAAAGTAGGTTATCTTATATGTAGGTAATATATATTATACATATGTAGGTAAATGTACGTTAGGGTTTGGAAGAATATTGTCTCAAAACACATTAAAAGGAGAAATTATATAAAAGTATAACTTGCTTAAATATTCTACAAATACCAGATTTAAAAATACATTCTTAATACGGAAACTAACTAAATCATCTTAAAACAAAGAGTAACAAAGATAAAAGATATGTTAATTTCTAAAAAAAAACGTAACAATATTCATAGAACACCTTTTATTTATCTTATCTTACTAATTATAAATGCGAAAGTTTAGATGGATGGATGTTCATTGAACTTTGTAGCCTAACATGCTAAATCTCAATGAAATTTGGCAATGTAAAGGATAGTCTGGAAGAACACATAGTCTACTTTTTTTTTAATTCTAAGCGGACGGAGTCGCGGTATGCAGCTAGTATACTAAATGGCCTATTCTATTACAAGTAATTGTTAAGCTTCAAGGGCGTTATCAGTTATACGCAGATATCTGTATGTAAAGCATAGAATTTGTGTCGAACAATGAATTTAGTGGGCGACCTTTGTACAACATTGCTGTTGTTTCATGAATAATGGCCTGCCTTTATAGATAATTAAACCATGTATAATACAGTGAAATACTGCCTACCGGTGTAGTAGCTTTGTTAATGTCAAGAGGTTAGCTTTTGTATCGATATAAGATACTAAGTATACACTATTAACCTATGTTCAGTTATGTTTAAGATTATAATTCTAGACCCTATGAATAATAAAAAAATAAAATAAATAAAAACCTCTTTATTGTTATCCAAGAATACACACAGAGTTGTACAAAAAATAAAAAACATACATGAAAAAATTGTAATAGATGGCAAAAGCGGGAGGCTCAGCTTAACCGATAGTGGTTGAGATCCAGTGTCGAGCTGGTTTTCAGCCACCTCCCTTCCCAAGATGTAAAAGGGAGCGGACCGTTGTAATTTAAAAATGCAATTTTCAAGACGATTTTAGTGTAGTATTTTTTTAATTGCATAAATTAGTGTCAGATTACTGATAAAGAAGTATTTGTATGTTAGGATTATAATCTACTAACTGTCGCCCGCGATAACGTCCGTGCGGAATTAAAAAAAAATAAAAAGTAAGTAACCTCTACATTAATGCCAAATTTCATCGCGATCCGTTCAGCCGTTTAGGCTACAAACTCTAACAAACATCCATCGTAATTTTTGAATTTATAATATTATCATAATAATTATAAGATTTGAAATGATAAAAATAAGATATTCAATAAATTATAATAAATATTAAAATCTTTTATAGCAGAGTTACAAAAGCTCTAAAGTACATTTAGCCAAAAATGAGTTATGACGCGTAGGATCGGGCGATTTATTTAATAAATATTATTTTCTTACGATAAATCTAATACACATTAAGAGCTGGCGCACACCTTTGACTAAACTATAGCACAACTGTTGTGCGATTGTCGATTGTTTCACAGCCAATTCAACTGTTTATTTGCACAACTACAAATCAAGTAGTACACGCACCTCCATATAAGCTTATAGGAATCAAAGCGCGACTAAACAATTGTGCGATAGTTCCGTCAAAAGTGAGGGCTCTTATTCTTCAGAACTAAAAATATTTGCATATCCTGTATAAAATTTCGAGACTTATGCAAGTTATTGCACAGGTCAGGATAAAATGGACGAACCGTGCGAATTCTTACATCACCTTTAACATCGATGAAGGTGATAAAAATCGATTAAAGTTGTCTTTACGTTTTTTGTTGCAACGTCCGCCAATACAAGTTGACCTTGGCACTAGTTTAAGTTAAGGTAACTTATACTTTAGTGTATTTTCTAACACCGCGAATGTCAGTGGTGGGAATTTTATGACCTATTTAGGTACACAATATATTTTTTTTATTTAGCCTTTTCCGCAACCTGGTCATATAATGAACCTCTTACTATCTGATATAACGCTTGTTACTAGATAAATAAATTAAGTTTTCATAGTTTTCTACTCAACTTACTGTGTCAAATTGCTTAAGCTTTATGATATAAAAAAGCTAATTCATATTTCATTTATTCGTGGACAAAAACTTGCAAAAGCACCTTGCAACGGAGTATACATAAACATTGACAATGTCCAAAAAAGGACCTGTAATCAAAACTGTCAGAGGCCAGCGACCTCGATGTCAGATGAGCAATTCATTAATATAACATCAGTTCACGCGGAGAGCATCGGTTCTCACGAATCATGTAAATCTGTCGACTAAAAGTAAATTATCGTATCGATTAATATGCAAATCGATTCGGGCATCACTAGGCGGTCGGTGAACCGCTCGCATGCTATTGTGAACGGTGACATGCTGCGTGTGAAAAACGCATGTTGACACGACCATCACAAAAACGAAATCTAATAAAGCGACGGACTGACTTTCTGTTTTAACTACTCGCGGCGTTACTTATGTTTAGTAACTTGACAAATTATTATACATCGATAATAACTTTGGAATATTACGATGGAAACTTAAAAATAAACTGTAATTAAACCGTATATACATTCGTTGGTAGATTAAAAATAAATTAATTTGCATTTCAAATTGTTTATTTGTTTTAGTTAGTGTGGAGAAAATACAATATGCTAATTTTTTTTTCTCTTTTTATATGCAGCCAGTAAAGTGGCATAACTGTAATAATAGTGTTGTAACATTAAGGAAACATTTTCGTTTGTTGCAAACACTAGATAGAACATAAGGGCAAATAATAATGCAAATATTCCTTGAACTTGGCCGTCTATTCGCTGCCGTGTACCGCTACAATCGAATGTCGGATATTAGAAATTATTGCGAGCCGTGCTCAACACTATCATACGCTAAATTATCACCGTATCGAATCCAGGTGACATAGTGTTTATTGGAGTTGCTGGAAATAGCATATTTTCATATAATCGCAGCCGGCCTTAGGAAATATTTCAACTCAATGTTCTGTGTAAATCGACATGCAAATTGTGTTATTCAAAAATAAATACAAGATAGATAAAGGTTCCAATTAAGTAACGTTTATGAACTTTTTAGGATATAATAAATATGTAAATTGATAAGAATTTAAATGTTTATTTTAAGTATTCTGTTATATTCAAGCTTTACTAAAGATATTTAAATTTATCGGAATAATGTTATTTGGACCAATATAGTGCGATCCTGCATTTTTTAACTGGTCTTTAGATTTTGCCAGGACATGGATAATAACTAGCTTCAGTATTGTTTAACAAAATGTTCAGTACTAACTCATTGGCGGGATGCGTGTTGTATCGCGCGGCGAGCGAGCGCATGATGTCGGAGTAGTTGCGGGGCGGGTGCGCGGGGTGCGCGGGGTGCGCGGCGTGCGGGGCGGCCTGCGGCGCCGCGTGCGGGCTGCCGCGCTCCGGCGGCGTGCCCGGGTACGACGACGTCGACGGCGTCACGCTACGGGACCTATACAACATAGTCAAGCTGTAATGCTTACGAAATTATATGACACTAGCTTTCGTTCGCGACTCCGTCTGCGTGGATTAAAGAAGTAAGTAGCTTATGAGTTTATCCAGAATATGCTCTACATTTATGTCAAATTTCGTTGACATCCGTTTGGCTGTTTAGGCTACAAACAGTCACAAACCTTCATCCATCTTAACTTTCACATTTATTACATTAGTAAAACTGAAGTTGTTGGCAATCACTTTTTTTTCGCCTAGTGTCACGCTGCACTACTTTACGTGAACTACTTGTATGATCGAAAGTAGTAGTACAAGTAGCTGGGATATTGTATGGGTTAAAAGTACCTTGAAGCAGTAGAATCGTGAGGGCTGAGACGTTCGCTCTTGACGTGTGGCTGCGTGTGGTACGTGCCTTGCACGTGCTGCATATGCATATGCTGCGTGGGCAGTGTGGGTAGCGTGGGCAGCGTGGGGTTGGCGGGCGGCACGTGTGGGTGCGCGGGGTTGGCGGGCGGCGTGGGGGCGGGCGTGTGCGCGTGCGCGGGGGAGGCCGCGTCGCGCGCGCATCTCCGCGTTCCGCCACCGCCGCCGCCGCCTTCACCTGGTAAAAGAAAATAACAATTGCGTTAGAAAACTTCATCCATTAATTAATTAATTAATTAATAACAGAGTTTCTTCCCATTGGAAATCATGTAGTATGGCAAAAACATAAACTACGGTAATCTAGATATTACCCATGTCTTCCTTCAAATGTTTCCATAAATTTTTCAGAGGAACAATTAATTTTACCTAGAAAGGTGTACGCATGGCGTGAATCCGGTCTCAAACGTCTCGTCTTACGCGCAACTGTCGAACGAAGCAAAAAACGAAGCCATTTTTGTAACAAGTACTTTAGTAGCAAAGTTTTTATTGCCTTGGGTTCTGTGTAAGTGGGAAACCGCAGCGTCTCTGTACATAGTGGTCCGTCAACCTGTTATCTGTATATTGGAATAAGCGTGGACCGAACATGTCGATTTTCGTTTATCTTGTACTTTACCTTACTATAATAGTGTGGTCATTCCTTCTATGATCTAGAGAATCTTCAATAAAGTATTTCTATTCTCTGAGAATTTGCAGATTAACTAAATTTGTTTTCATAGTTATACGACTAAGTCACATTTTTACGTAGTTTTGAATCTAATACACTGCGCAATAGAACTTGTCCAAAGTTAAACATTTGTTTACATCGTTCCCAAGCTAATAAAATACAGCCTTGTTGACATACAGTATTCTTTATACGCAATATAAATTAGTAAAAATCATGAGAATTGAATTAATACTGTGATCGATATCTGACTTGTTCATTCGGATGCTTAAGACTAAAGAAATTCTTTAAAGTCGAGAACTCCGAGAGATCTTCGCGGCATCTCGGCATTTACACCGATAGGAATCGCGGCTCGTTTGAGCTCGGGATACACTTTCCACCAATCTTGTGGTGGCATCGCATTGAATTAATGAGCCGAGGTCTGACGGTGTCACGGCGGCCTAACCGATTGTGCGTGAACTTAAGCACTTGCACTTGCGAAATATTCGCGCTGAAACTGAGAATGTATCATTAGTTTTATTAAATAGGCATCGGTGGCTCAAAGGTTTAAGCATTTGCCTTGTAATTCACAGGCCCTGGTTTCAAATCTCGCCAAGTACCAATGTGATTTTCATAATTACATAATTTACCTGACGTTCTTACGGTAAAGGAAAACATCGTGATGCAATCTGCAAATATTGGCGATGAAATTTTAAGACATGTAGAAAATCAACAAGCACTTGACCAACGTAGTTGACTATGACCTAGTCACTCTAACTTAGGTAGAATCCGAGCCACTCAGTGGTGAAGAATAATGAGCTGGTGATGAAGATTATTTAAGTAAGACAAAGAAGAGGAAGAAGAAATTGATGTGATTTTCATTGAATTTTAGCTTCATCTAATTTTGGTGTCAAATACTACTTTGCTATAAGAAACTCGTGTATTTATCATAGTATTTCGATGTATTTTAACTTTACTTGCGCTTATTTGAGAAAAATAGTTTATTTGATAAATTATTGAAAAATACAAAGTCGCGGGCGTTAATTCATAAAATATTTACTTTACTGTGTTTTCATTTATTTGACATTTATAACAAAGGTAACAATGAAAAACTCACCTATATTGTAGTTGACATCGTAATATGACAAAATTATTTTAACATGACACGTGGCTATTCGTTTGTTATGTTCCTGTGGTTGTGGGCGGGTAACACGTTTGTTATATAAGATTGATGCGTCGCTTCTACTACGGTACTGAATTAGTCGATTGTGTGACAATTGTTCGACTAAGATAAGATGTTGGACCACAGACGTTGAATTTGTTACCAAAGTACATCGACTTACTCCAACGCTTCGTGTTATTGGTGATTTTTTATTCGGACAAGAGAAAAAATTACATTGACTTAGACAAGTCGCGACTGCACAATACTGTTGGCTGACATCTATTTCTTAGATCTACCTTACAAACACATTTATTTTAAATTATTTTGTAGGTATCTGAAATTTTAGATTTTTTTTTGTAGGATGTACCTTATGTAATGCAGTGCAATGATCGAGAGATTGTATAAAAAAAAGTTCAATTTTTATTTATCAATTTAATTACATGACAAAATTAATGTTTAGTTTCGAAATAAATTACATCAATAAATCTAAATGTAACCTATGTCAAAATATATATTTTTCGAAAGTGATGAACCGGATATTTGACATAATTAATATGTAAATCAAGACACTTGCTATTATAAATTATCCCTTAAATCAAACAGATCTAAGTTCATTTTAAATTAACTTGACGTATAAAATGTTTGAGAAGAATGATTAATATCAATATTCGGATGTTAAAGTTGAAGGTTTTTATTAATGAATAATTTTTTGTCCGTGAGAAAATGTCGACAGGACGTGACGAAATTGTCGCGTCGATCGTTGAACGACAACTTCCGGTCAAAACCAGTCCGTTAGCTAATCGATGAGGCATAATTAGATATGCGTTCATATGTAACTTTATCATAATGTCTATAGTCTATATATTTAAAAGATACAGTCTAAAAATAGTGATAAGCTTATTTCCGGAAGATGTAATTTGTGGTTACCTTGCGACACGAGACATTGAATAAAATTAATCGATTAATGTATTTTTATATCTAATCTATGATAAGATAAGATAATGATAAATTCGATACATTAAGATTATAACAAGATTAGCTGACTTGAATATTTTCTTAAATACTTCTAACACTAGCGTTTACAAAAAGACCATCTGTTTGCTTTTACTTGAGATCAAAAACAATGGTTTCTAACTTCAACACATTTTTACAAATTATTTATTACTAAGAAAATAATTAACTAAGTAAACTTTGCAGGATAAAGTTGTTGGTAAATCGTTTACCGCACAGTGTTTGACGGACGCATCGGACTTGACACTTATTTGCAGTGTGGTACAAATCACAAGCATTAGCTGTGACAAAACCAGGTTCAACCAATTTTTATGTTTGGATGATAACTTGTAATGAAAGAGAAATTGCTGAACATGACATTGTAATGAGTTTACAATTGGACTGTTTTGAAGTCGGTAGCAACAACTTAAAGCGCCCAGTGTATTTAGATTTTAGAAAATGCTTCAAATAAATTTTTATCAATTAAATTGATTTTTCATCAATGCAATTATATTTTTTATTTTTTATTTTTATTAATTAATACTAAAAGAGTTAGGGAGGGGCAGTATGTTACACCACGGGCCAACAACTATTACGGGGAAAGGACAACGAAATATGTAATACCTAAT